CACAGCCTCCAGAACTGTTAAATTTCTGTTCTTTCTAAGTTGCCCGGTCTGAGATATTTCATTATAGCAGCACAAAACAGACTAAGACAATCCCTTAGGTGGGACTTGCACTCTAGGGAAGTGTAAGACATATACACTGAAAATTACAAAACAGTGCTGAAAAAAATGAAAGACCTTTATAAATGAAAAGATGCCCATTTTTATGGATTGGAAGACTTAATGAGGTACTGATAAACGACATGGATGAACATCAAAAACTTTATGCTAAGTGAAAAAAACTAGACGCAAAAGGCCATGATTCTATTTATATGAATGCCCAGAATCAGTAAATCCATAAAAACAGAAAGTAGATTAGTGGTTGCCAGAGCCTGGGATGAGGGGGCAATTACCACTAGTAATTGGGATGTCTTTATGGGGAGATGAAAATGTTCTGGAATTAGATAGTTGTGATAGTTGTGCATTATGAATATATGAAAATCAGTGAATTTTACATTTTATTTTTATTTAATTTGCTATAAGATGTGTGCACTCACAGGAGAGAAACAGAAAGGGAGAGGGAGAGAGAGAAAGTAAGAAAGGACGCCAACGGGGGACGACCACACTGGAATTCCTCCTCCTACACTCTCCTCTCAGGATTTAGGACATGCATGCACACGTGCCTGGCATGTTTTTCAACACACAGAGTCCAGGACTGGAACTGTGCAGTGGGCCATGTGGGATCCAACCACCTTAACCTCCACACCACCTGACTGGCCCAGAATTACTCATTTTAAAAAGGTGGACTTTAGGGACCAACAGATGGTGGAATGGTTACATCACTGGACTCCCATGGAGTCGACAGTGGTTAGGGTCCGGTGGCTTAAATCACATACCGTTCATGTGTGTGTGTGCGTGCCCAAGATCCTGAAAGATGATGGAGGAGAAGGGATTGCGGTATGCCCATCCCACTGGAGGGTGATTTCTCGTTTTCTGTCTCTGTCTCTCCATTGAGTGCAAGTGCCCTATAGAAAAACTTCTCTCTTAAAAAAAAATAGAGGGGGACCAGCAGTTAGCATAATGGCTATGTGAGCAAGCAGAAAGAGGTGATCTGGAATCTCTTTGCCATTCTGTTGTGATCGCTAGTACAGCAGATTCAGTAGTTATTGAGGAATATGTTAAACCATGCTAACTTTGTTTGCTGGAGGCTGAATTATCAGAAAATCTTCATTTCTCTTGTCCCCTGAAATAACTAGTTTGCAGGAGCCATGAGGAATCTTCTTCTCAACTTTCCAAGTCTTGAGAGGCACTCAAATATCCAAGAAATGGGGACCAGCAGGTGGCGTGGTGGTTAAGATGCTGAACACTCCCACATGGCCGACCACAGTATGAGTACCGGACCTGGTGGCTTGCTTTCTCACTTTCCCTCTCTCTGTGTGTGTGTATCTCTCTCTGGTCAAATTAAAATAAATTAATAAGTAAAATTAAATAATTATTTTTTAAAAAATAAAGTAGTAGACTATAGGGGCCAGCAGATGGTGTAGCAGTTATGTTGCTGGACTCCCACATGCTCGACCACGGTTCAGGTCCCAGACCTGGTTGTTTGAAAATCATACTGGAAGTGTGTACATGCATGCCCAAGTTCCAGAGAGGAGAATAGAGGAGATCGGATTGCAGCGTAGCCATACCCCCAGGTATTGATTTCTTGCCTTTCTTCTCACTGTCTCTGTCTCCCACTCCAGCGAGTGCACATGCCCTAAGGCAAAAAAAAAAAAGGTGAACTTTAGGGGCCAGTAGGTGGTAAGGTAGTTATTTTGCTGATCTCCCACATGGCCAACTGTGGTTCAAGTCCCAGACCAAGTGGCTTGAAAATCACGCTGGGCATATGTGCAAGCATGCCTAAAATTCCAGGAAAGTGGAGAAGGAATTGCAATGTGGCCATCCTTCTGGGGAGTGATTTCTCACTTTTCTTCTCTGTCTCTGTACAGAGAGCCCATGCACCCTATGGCAAAAACCTTAAATAAATAAATAAATAAATAAATAAATAAATAAATAAA